GCCGGGGGGGGCCGCCGGGCGCTGCGGGTCTGAGAGGGCCCGAGCGCGTCGCGCCGCTGCAGCGGTTTGCGGTTCCCTCCCCGCAGCCGCTTTCCCAGCCCGGCTGCCGCTCGGCAGGCCCCCGGCGGCGGCGAGCAGCGGGCTGGTGTGGTGTGGCCGGGCCGGCTTCGGGGCGGCAGGCAGCGGGCAGGCCCGGCTGTTTATCTCGCAGCTGGGCCCGTGCCAGGGCCCTGTTTCCTGACGGGGCTTTAAACCTTCGCAGCTCGCAGGCGGGGTGAGCCCTGCGCCCTGCCGAGCTCCGGGGCTCGGCTCCGTCCCGGCGCCGCTGCCAGCCCGGGAAAAGGCGGAGGGAAAGCGCCGTGCCCTCGGCGGCAGCCGGGTCCCCCCGGGAAAAGAGCAGGTTTGCAGCAGCGTTTTCCAGGCAAACAAAGTGGGTGAGGGCTCGGCCTCCGCTCGCTGCTGCTCCGAAACCCTCGTAGGCAGCGAGTTGGAGAGCGGCGCTGCGGTGAGGTGTCTGGGCTCCTGGTATGTCTAGCTTAAATTAAGAAACCTGCCATAAAGGGTTTTAAATAGAAACCCAGGCAAGTACTCTGTGGTTGGCTTTTCCTTCCTAACGAGTTGCCGTTTTGCTGACTCGAATTGAACTTTCCAAATCTGTGGGAGACTTTATTTTGAAGATGTCTTGCTTAGCTGCTGACGTTTTTAAGGCAGATGAAGAAGATCAGTGTCTAGGTAAATAAATCAGTAGCCCTAGAGGAGGAATAGGGGATGGACCAAGTTATTTGTAATCAGCGAGTGGGACTATAAAAAAAAAAACCAACCAAACAAAACACAAACACCTGCGAGCTTGGATTCTGGTGTCTTTATTTATTCCCCCCCCTCCCCGTTCTAAGCTGTAATCAGGAAAGCAGCTTGACTTCTAGCCTGCAGAGCCTCTGCCTTTCCTGAAATAGCCTCCCTTCAAAAGGGGAAGTGCTGCAGAGTGGGGTTATTGCTCAGTGGACGCTTCCGAGCTGTAGGAGTTGTGTGTGTGCACAGTTAATACAGTAGCTCTGAGTTACTGGATCAAGAGGAGGGGGAGAAAGTAGTGAAACAGTGTAGATAAAGATAAAGGGCTAATTTTGATTTTGAATATGTCATTGGTCTGGGCACTTTCTTGTAGGACAAACTCGTCAGCTACTCCTGAGGCAACTCGTTACACATACTTTTACTGGCCCTGTACCATGCAAGTTCCGAGCATAGTAGTTCTAATGTACACTTAGACCCTTTCTTCTCTTCTCACGACAGCTGCTCTTCTCAATTTAGAAGCTACGCGTGCTGTTTTGTTATACCTGTCACAGTATTCTCTGTGTGTGCGCCTGTGTACATGCGTTTTTAACAACAATTCTCTCTAACTTCAGGGCTTAGAGTTGCATGTAAACATCAAGTTCATGATTTTACTCCAAGACAAACTTGTTCTAGTGCTTGTTAACATCTCCTTTTGCTGGAATATTTGTGCAGAGCAAACAAGCTTAATGGCTAATGTTGGCTGGGACAGCGCAATAAGAGTCCCCTAGAATATCTGCACGAAACACTTGAGCTCGCAGAATACTCTCCCTGCAGATTCTTTGGAGCTGACTGTGTCAACATGGTCTCTCGAGCTAGCTGCAGATGTTAACGCAAGTGATTTTTTTTCTTCTTCTTCTTTCTTAGTCCTAGCTCGCTTTGCTTGTTACTGCACAGCTTAGAACTGCATTTTCTTTGCATTTTTTTTTTTTATGACTCTTGTTATTTTTGAGCAGAGGCTTTTGTAACCTACTGGAGCGAAGTCTTGGTATTGTGTTCTCTTATCAACTCTTTCTTCTCAGATTCAGGCTGCCTACATTGCTTCTTGAATGATAAATACCTTTGCTTTGTTTGAAATAGGTGTAGCGCAGGTGTAGCTAATTACATGTCGACACCATCCAAGCACCAGGATGTCTGCGGTGCCAAAACCTGCTGCAGACTGTTGTGTTCAAGTAATGATAGGCTAGATGAGTAAGTTACTGAAAGGTGGAGGTGAAGGTGGCAGAATATGAAGAGAACAGAATTAGTCTTGATCTTAAAAGCCAGTTATCTCTGCAAGATCGTTTTCGCATAATGGTGTATAAATGTGGCATAATTCTTGAAACTAGTTTTTTTTTTTTTTTTGACAAATGCTTAACTAGCCAATTGTGGCAGCTTATGGCTTGCTGAACCAACATTTTTCTGTTTGGAGGATGCAAGAGTGGAATGTAGGAGTACTGACTTTCACAAAACAGCTTGTTTTTTGTTTCAGTCCTTGCATAGCTGATGTGTTTGACTTTTACACTGCTATATCTTGCTGAGCATGGAAATATGTGCAGCCTTTGTAATAATATTGTGGCTTGCCGTGATCACGGGTCATTTAAATATATTGTGCTTTCCAGGAGTGCGAATAGTGGGACCCAAATAAGGGCAGGCCATGGAAGCTGCTGTGCTCAATCTAGCTACTGACTCTAGGAACAACATGAAGGCAAAGATCTTTTGCTGTGAAATCCGATTTTTCTTCCTGACCAGTACAAAGAACAGGTCTTGAAAGTGAGCTGCTAAATACCGGAGTCATGAATCATTAAAGGGACATACTTGACCAAATATATAGATTATGTAAACATTTGGGGTTTGTTTTTTTTCTTCTGAAAGACCCAAACCCAATGTGTGTTTGCCCAAAGGGAATGTCTCTTCTGATTGTTTACTATTTGATAGTGCTGTTCTCTCAAATTGGCTTGTGGGAGCCTTTCACCTGGAAGTCCAGAAAGGCACTGAAAGAACTCTTGAGTGTTAAACTTGCCATTCAGACACCACCGCTAACTTTGCAGTCGGTATTAAACAAGGCATCACCGCGTTACGGGATGATGATGGTAGTTTCCTTTGGATGCAGTCATCTTCTGTTTGAGAGAATGCTGTGGGGGGGGCAGGTGGAACAAGTCACTGAACTAAAGAGATAAGTTTCAGGTTGCTAGAAGCAAACCTTCCCTGGGACGTGGGTGGAAGAAAGAAGCTGCAAGGTAGGATGTGCCACAGGGACTTGTTTTTATTTGGCGTAATTTGAAGCTGCCTTTAAGCTGACGAGTGGTTCTCTTTCGTAGTGGACTTCACTTGTGCATATTACAAGTTCTAAAACTTGAATATTTGACTCGTGTCAGATGTCTGTTCCCCAGCTAATAGACAAAGTTGCATCTTAGCTGTTTCTGTTAGTCCAGCTTTGTAAGGAAAAGTAATGTTACTTTAATCCATCTGACAGCAAGAGGAGGATAGGAAATAGGCTTTTGGGAAGAGGCCTGAAAACACCGTGTACCTTAAAATGATCTGGCTCTACAAATCTTGCTTTTCTTGTACTATATTACGGCTGCAGCACTGTATCTTCTGTTACAGTTATTTAAATTTCTTACACCTCAAATAGTTCCTGGATAAAGGTTTGTCTAGAAAGTGTCCTCTAAGAAAATATCCTCTTCCAGTGCTGTTTGAAAACTGATCTTAATATGATACAGTAGTATTTCATATGAGGGTTTTCTTATTAATATGATGCTTGACTTACAATTCTGGCTGCATACGTAGAAGAAACAGAAGATGGTAGCTCAAAGTGAAGCAGCAGATAACAGCTTGCTTTAAATTCAGAGCAGCTACACTTTCTAAGTTCTCATCCGTCTTTCTTTAAAGGATCCTGAAGTTGCCACACATGGAGGTGAAAACTCATCTGGAAGATGTCTGTTGACTCTGCTGGGTCTAGCCTTCATCTTGGCAGGAGTTGTTGTCGGTGGAGCCTGCATCTACAAGTACTTCATGCCCAAGGTAACGTGAAAGTTCTTTACACTTGTTTTATTCCGCAGTGCTTAATCTTAAATGAGTTACCACTATGATGGTAACGGGGACATGAAGACTGCTCTGTCCTTTATAAAAGCTCCAGGTGTGACAGACCTGTGCTTCGTCATAGGACAAGCGTTAGAAATATGTTTTTAAAGCAACATTCGCTGTAAAAATAACTAGCCTTGCTCTTACTTTCAGCATAAGGTGTACCGTGGTGAAATGTGTTACTTTGAAAATGAAAATCGTGATCGTGCGGTAGAACCTTATTTCCTTCCTATTGCTGAAGAAGCTGACATTCGAGAAGATGATAACATAGCCATCATTGATGTGCCCGTTCCAAAGTTCTCGGACAGTGATCCAGCAGCAATCGTTCATGACTTTGATAGGGTGAGTATATGTGAAGCAATAAGAAATAACTAGTCTTGTTGCTCACTGGGAAACTGTGGAGTGGGTGGTAATCATAACAGCTCCAGGGTTTTCATTCTTGAGACCTTTAAAGCTTACTGTCAATGCAAGCTTCTCTTTGGGGATGGGTTTAAGTGCGGGAAATCTGATCCTTTTAACTCTATAATAATAGACTTAACTTCTGCACGGGAGGAGCGTTACAAGAATGTTAGAGGAGTTCACACCCGCAGTGGCTCTGACTGGATCGTTTCTTAGAACAATGCATCTCGGTGCTATGCAACTTTAAATATTGTTGCCCATAGGATGTCTGGAAGTGACACTTGCTGTTTGGTCAAGAGTCCTATGTACATGAAAGTGAGGGCAGGAGAACACTGTAAATGTGAGTGAAGAAATAGGGAAACTGAGAATTCGGTCTAAGATTCTGCCAGACTGTAACAGCAAAATGTAGAGTTCCAAACAAGTGTGGGCTCCTTCTCCTTGGATAAGTGAATTGAAAAAATCACTTCAAGTGGCTGAAACCTAGAAGTTGGAAGTGCTGTGTCAGTTGCATGTGGTTTCTCTAAAGCAAAGATGAGAGAATGGTTTTAATTTGACATTTTTATTAAAGTTGCACTGATAGTATTAACAGTTACCCTTAGTCAGCTGTAAAAGCTCTCGTAGGTTGTTAGTAAATCAAACCTTGGCAATGCAGATATGATCACGGTAAAGATGCTAGAGCTGACCTCTGTACATGCTGCCTTTAACAGTTGCCTGGAATGCCACGCAGCCAAGCTGCGCTACCTGCGTTCGCAGTATTTGCAGCTTTTATCTGTGTTGTCTTGACAGAACCTTGGCTATAACTTAAAGGATTCGGGCAGTGTAAGACCTTCAGTTGATTCTGGCGAAGTGCTATGCGAAGTCGTAATAAAACATGCAGATATGTTGATAATTTTAGTCTCTGCAGTTCTTGCAGTCAGAGGTAATGCTGATGTGACTTCCTAGAGACTAGTACTTTTTCTGAAGTATTTACAGTGAGTGATTACTTATCAGCAGTTGGATACCTTTTCTTTGCACTGTGCTTAGTTGGACTTCTCCAGTTACGAGAACATACTCCCAAATACTTTCTCTGTATTCACGCAAACTGTAGTCACTTCGAATTATGATAGGAACAGCTTTTATAGTCAGCTCCCACTTCTGTACAAAAGTCTGGTTGTAAACCACAGCTGTAGCCACTTTGTTTGCAAAAGTGGTAAGAGCTAAATTCTTACACTAGACGGGTCCTGAATTCATCACTTTGATACTAGCTGTGCGTGAGCTCCAGCTTTTTGAGCTTCCTTCTTAGTCCTTGTAGAACTGTGTTCTGATAATCAAAGGCCACACTTGATTAATCGAAACCTTGTTTTCAAAATAGCTTTTGACGGCCTATCTTGACTTGCAACTGGGTAACTGCTACGTGATTCCACTGAACACATCCATAGTTATGCCGCCAAGAAATCTGATGGATCTCTTCGCAAAACTGGCGGTACGTGGAAACTTTACTGTTTAGTTGTGCTGACAGGATCCCTTTTGTTAAGGATGCTGGGTGTTGCTCCTGAACTACAGTCCCTTGCTAGAACAGTCCTCTTGCCATCAAAGTACATAATCCCCCTGGCTCAGTCACCGTACTGAAGTCAGGGCCAGCTGTCAGTGTACATTATGTTGAGCAGATTCATGCTTAATGCTCTTATTAATACCTAGCTTTATGAAAGCTGCAAGCAACTAGCAAATAAGGTTAAATTTAGCTATTATAAAGGAATTTGATAATGCTCCAAATATCATTGAAAGCCTAAACCTGAAAGTTACGACTGGAAAGCTCTCTTGCCCCATGAGAGTTTTAATGAAAAGAACAATGCTAACTTGTTCTTCTGTTTTATTGGCACTGAAGTTAGGAGCTCCCCGCAAGCACGTTGACTCTTCAGTGACTAAAACTGGAATTTTTCCAAGAAGACTTACCTTATGGGTCAAGTTGATAGAGCTTGCTGCTGATGTCAAACTAAACGCAGTATCGAGCTATCGTGCGTCAAATGTACTTTTCAAAAAAGTGATTGATTCCCCTACACCTAGTGCTAGAGGCCACCTGATCTAGCTTAGCTTCTTTCATTTTCTTTGGCTTTGTGAAGACAAGCTTTAACATGTCTCCATGCCCCTGTTTTTAGGAGTTGGTCATGATGAGTGGGAAGTCGTTTCAGTAGTGCTTTGATCTTATGGTGAAGACTGAACTTTTGTAGGTTGCACTGCTTTTTTTGTATTGGAAATATATTGCCTCAAACATGGAAACTCTTGTGATGCTTTTTCTCCTCTTTTAACTGCAAACTTTCTGTTGTGTACAAATAAACTTGAACAGGTTCTGTTTATGTTTGCACCATGTGAGGTGAGCAATGTTAAGGTTAACTGTGCTTTGTTCGGATGTAACTGCAACTGTTTGAAATAGCCTATGTCTGTTTTTAACTTACCTGGTATGCAGCTGTTCAAGACCAGTGTATTTTAGTATTAAAAAGAAGGAAAGCTGAAATCTAGTGCTCGAAGCCCTTCCAAAGCAGAGAGTAAAATGTCGTGATGTTTGTCCCTTGTCAGCAGAATAGTGTATCTCAAGGTTTTTCTCTCTTTTAGACTGGCTCTTACTTGCCTCAGACCTACCTAGTCCGTGAAGAAATGGTGGTTACAGAGGAGATAGATAATGTGTCTGACTTGGGTATCTTCATCTACCAGCTCTGTGTTGGAAAAGAGACGTTCAGACTTCAGCGCAGAGACCAGATAACGGGTAAGTTCCCTTCGGTAAAAAAACCAAAAGTATTGTTCGAGTAGGGAAAGGGTAAATACTTTTGGAGTTTTTAGACTTGGAAATCTGCGAGTGTTCAACATGAGCTGAGACTGCTCGTAGAACTGATGGGTATTTTCCCCTACTTTCAGGTACGTATCTGAAGTTTCATACAAACATGGTGAGACAGGGTTTCAGTTATGGAATTAGAGGTTACATGCTCAAACCAAATTTGAGCTTAAGCCTATTTCTGTTCTGTCTTTTGGTTGAAGCTGTAAGTTAGTTTGGCCCCAAAATTCATATAATCCATCTGATAATGTGAGTCTCTGTAGGTGCAGCTTAGTCTGTCACTGTCCTGTCTAAAACTGGGTTAGAGGAGCACCAAGTAAAAGCATTATCTTCTGGTTCGGTTGCTCTGGGAAAACAACAACAACAACAAAATTGAACAGCTAGCTCCGGACATCCCAGACTTCCTCTCTAAAAGAGGAAGAACACTTCACAGGAACTTCTGAGCTCAGTTTCTGTATTGCCTGTCTCCTCACGCCACCCCACTGCCATTCTGTGAAAAGGATTGAATTTGAGGTGTCGGTGGTGTGACGTACTGGAAGGAGGCCTGGAGTACAGAAATCTGATGCTATGAATTTTAGTTCACTGTAGTTCTCAAAGCATTTCATAGTTTGCTGCTCTCACCAAACACATAGTGAACGAATCCTTTGTCAGTTACAGCCTTTCAGAATGCAAATGTTTGGTTTGTCAGAACTCTCTGCTCTGGTTTTCCTGCCAAGCTCTTAGGCAAGAGTTTCCTCAGCCCAGTTATAGCTTGCAGCATCAGGAGCCACATCTGCTGTTTGCTACAGACTACATCCTGTTACTAGACGAAGGCTCTGAATGTGGGAGCATAAAACTGGTCCTGTGTAGCTAACAGGGCCCATGAAGAACCAGTAAACGCTGCCTTTATGGGAGGGAGAGGCATGTGTCTCCTACTGTCGCGAAGACGCTTTTCTGAACAAGTCTAAATTGTTGCTGTGACTGAAGGACTGTAGTTTACAGACAATACTGCAAAGAGTGTTTATGTTTACTTAAATCATCTTGCTATAGCATGTTGTTGACGTCTTCGCTGCATAGTAAAAGACTTCTACGGAATACTTGCACAAAAAGATAGTGGTAAATGAATACTGCTTCTTGGTACAGTTTCTGTTCTGTGACTGACCTTGTTTGCCCTTGGGGAGGGGGGCGGGAAACGTAGTCAAATGGAAGACTGCTGCTGAGGAGAAAATTGTTCAGGGACAAGGCTTGTCTTGCCTTCCAGATCAAATTTCTAGCACATCTTCTAGTGTGTACGAGCCATGCACACCTAAATAATTAGACTAAACCGGATGAACTCCTGTAATTTCTGTGGAGAAGTCTTCACATTTAGCTGGTGTTGCACTGGCTCTCGGATTTTTGTAGAGTTCAGGGGTTCATCTGTTAGATCAAACTGACCTCGGGTTTTGCGGCAGTTCCCTGGAGTTGTAACTGACAGCGTGCGAGAAACAGGACAGGTTATCCTGACTGTTCCGTGATGTACCCAGTTAGATAGCCACTGGAAACTTCTTACTTGTACAGGCATTAAGATTGAGGCAAATTGAAGGACAGCCTATATTTTAAGTGTTCATAAACCAAAGCAGTGCCCTGCTGGGTTCGGTTTAAGAGCTAGTGCTTCTAGACTTCGATGGGTAGCTTCTCTTGCTTACTCTGGACAATTCTCTGCCTATTAAACAAGCTAGAAATCTTCCTCTAACTCTTGTATGTTGAAGTGCTTTAGTGGAGCAGCTTGTCCTGGATGGCAGGATGACGATGTTCTTGGCTCCTAGTAAAGATTCACAGCTGATACAGGTAAACAGCCTGTGTCAGATCCAACACTGGCATGTCCCAAAATAGAGAAAATCACTTTAATAGTGTTAGGAAAAACTTGAGTAAGATCATCAGCTGAGTGGCAAATCCTCACAGGGCTCTCATCAAAGCAAAGCCTGCTCTACAGAAGCACACTCTGTGTTAATACACGCTGGGTGGGGGGGAAGCGCTGATGAAGAACTAAGTTGTTGGGTTTTTTTCCCCTGCACCCTTTGAGTTTTTAAACTCTTTC